CTCTTTGATTGTCAACCTAACTCTATAAAAAAGATGAAATTAAGTTTTCTAAGGATGCTGCAATATTTGTTGGGTTATATCATGTGTTTCGACAAGATGGCGAGCCTTAATAATCGTTTTGTGGATGCAAAACTTTTACAAAATTTCAGCGATTTTGAAACTGAAAAGCAAATTAATATCATCCAAGTTTATTTGATTTTATCTTAAAATTTTTCTAGAGCTTACCTATTCTTCATGAATACTACGTTTATATATATGCACGTTCTAACACTATGACACATGAAGTTACTAAGTAATTTTCTAATTTATTTTGTTTGCGGATTATAGACTACATACGGCGATACATATGAATGCGTAGATTTTTACAAACAACCAGCATTAGGCCATCTGTCAATGAAAAATCACTCATTTCACTATGAGTATGTATTCTACTTAATATTTGTGAGTTGGATCATACTTCCAGTCATTAATATTATTTTTATGAAATGTAGAGGTGTCGAATATCATCCCTAAGAAATTCAAAAACAAATAATAAAAAATTTGGCTACTTATGGAAAAATGGTATAGGTTGTCCAATTGGTACTGTACCTATAAAGAGAGTCACCAAAGAGAAAAAAAAAAGATTAGATTCGTCTTCTGAAACATATAAGCCCCAAGGTTCTTGGAATTTTACTTATAATCAATCTATTGTTGATAGTAACCAACATCATGTAAGTAGCATATTATTTGTTATTTTTCCATCCAAAGAAATAGATAAGTAGTATAATATATATTATTCCATGAAACTCATAAAACAAATGTTGATAATGAATGGTGATGATTAATAGTTTGCGGTGTCTCGTACCAAAGAAGGACAAGGAAAAATCTACACCGGAGCATCAATAGAGCTTTCTGCACATTATCCTAAAGTTAAATTTCCACAATACAGTTCTAGTCGTATGCATGTTCAGATTGGAGACGATTTTATTCAAATTGGTTGGACTGTAAGTTTGTTATCATAATTTTTGGTGTACATAAAATTATAAAAAAAAATCATGATAAATAGATCCATTTATAATCATTAATATTTTAAAATACTTACTTTAATATCATATTCAGGCAAATCCAAATTTATATTATGACAGTTATGCTCGAACTTTTGTATATACGAAAGTAAGTTTATTACTAATAAATATATGATTAACATATTTATTAATTATCCCATCATAAAATTTTAAGTTTTTTCTG